ACGTAGCAGTACTGTAGCATTGGTCAAATTGCGAAGGACAGCTGAGTATTCCTTGAAGCACTGTGCATAACTTCCTAGAATTCCGCAGCTGGGGGGAGGTCATGAAAAGCTACATCGTCAGAGTGTGCAAGCTGAACAGACGAACACCGTCGGAGAGGATGCGCACCCCCGGGCCGGGGTCGTCGAGGCGGCACGGATTGACATCCTTGCAACCCTGCATCCTGGCTTGTATCGTCGCATGGGGTTCGTGATTATGGAACCATCATCATTAGGCCTCTCTGCTAATTTATTGTGCGGTCTCAACGTATAGAATGGCCCCGCGGCCGCAACACGGGTCGATATGTCGCTATGGTCGGAGAAGAATTCGCGCCCACTTGCTTATGCTTGTATCACATATGATCATTTCTCGGGTATCGAAGAATTGGATGGGCGGCGGTATGGTTGTGTGCTCGACACAGACATTCGATTGTTCTAGATACATATCAAGTTTTCGTCGAAACTGGGACCGAACTTAATTAAGCCTGAGCGCGTGAGCCACAGGGAGATGAACACACAGGGAGCGCAAATGAGTTCACCGAAGTCGTCCCCCACCAGATAATCTGGGCAAACGTCGAGAATCAAGCGAAACTGTTGTTATATGATCTCCCGCTGCCTCGCCGCGAAACACGCAGGCAACGTGAGCACATCGGTACAGCGAAGCGTAGTGATTATTTAACGGAGCGTCGTCGTCACAGACTTGCCACTTGCATACAAACCTATAGCTACAGTGATGTGCTTCATGAGCTGACACGGTCCGAATACCGTCGGATGTATGACCGAGTAGGGACATATAGATACAGATGTGGTGAAGCAGGACTATTAGCTCGTGTGCACAGGCATCATCCGGTGATATAGAGAACATTTAAACGTACACCTCAGGCTCGGCGCGCACGGCTCACGAGCCGACGCCGAACGACTCTCCGCACCCGCACGCGTCCTTGATGTTCGGGTTCTTGAACGCAAATTTCGCGCTGCGCATACCGAGCCAGGTGAGCACGATCGCAATGCGGTAAGATAACGTACCTGAGCACTTACTCGTGCCAGTCCATCTCGCTGCCGATGATAGAGAAGAGCGCTTTGCTGTCGATGAGGGCCTTCACGCCGTCCTGCTCGACGACCTCGTCGAACTTGCCCGGCTTGTCGACGTACTCGAGATGGTACGAGAGCCCTGCGCAGCCCTTGTTCCGCACGCCTATCCGTATGGGTTGGGTTGTGAACCCCTTGAGCAGTGCGCGGAGCCGCTGCAGTGCCGGGTGACTCAGACGCACCGCATGCCATTCGTCCTTCAGCGTACAGGTCGTGAGTGGAGCGGTCCGGGGCTACGCACCACTGTAATGGCAGCTTTGGTCGGCTTGATGGTGGGCGCCCATCGGCCTTCGGAGCGGGCGGGCGGGCTGCTACTTGCGGCGACTTCGCGTCGGGGGAGAGCGAGTTCGGCGACGGCTCTTTCGCCTTCGCCTTCTGTGAGGGAATGACCGCGGGCGGTGTCTGTCCCAGCGACTTGGACGGTAGGGACGTTGTGGTCGGCGAGTCTTGTGGTCGGCAGGTCGTCGCGAGAGAGGGCATCCTGGCATGGCGGTGGGCGGGGAGAGGTCATAAAGGGAGTGAAGCGGGAAGCACTCCAATGTGGCCATCGGGCCCGGCCAGGCCAGGCGGTGAGCTTGGCAACGCGGTCTAACGCCTTGAACACGGGCTCGTATTCGGGCTTGCTATGCGCGACAACTTTTAACTTATGAGATACACCCTGACCGTGGTATGCGACCGGATTCTGTGAGGCATGTAAGATGAATGGCCATAGGGCAACAAGGGGTGGAAGAACGGCACCTGCAGCGCGTTGGCAGCGTCATATGGGATCAATGCCAACGAACATCTTGAAGAACGTTGGGCCCTCCGCCTCGGAGCCGTCGTAGAAGAATAGAACAGCCACGACAGGCTTGCCATTAGGTCTGACGACCGCTGTTCAAGTTTGGATCTGTGAGGACCTGCCGCCTGGGTCGTCCCACCACTCCGCAGTGACCTCGGTCAGCGCGTAGAGCTGACTACGATTGCGACGCAGCGAAGACAGCTCAGCGCTGGTCGTGGAGCTGAGAAACCAAACTCAGCGACGATACCGAAGTTGGACCCGCCACCGCGGATGCCCCAAAATAGATCGGTGTATCCTGTCTTTACGACCGGTCCATCAGCGAGGACAACGGTGCCTAGGAACACATGAGGATACGTGCAGCACAACGCTGAATGGGACTTACTTTGAGAACGTTGCCGAGGGCGATTCCGTGAGACGGCAACAGGTAACCGTAGCCTCCGCCGAGGATCAGGCCAGCTACATCAATCTATGTCAGGCATCAGTGAACGCGTAGTCATACTACGCGGAAAGTAACGAAACATACGTACCGCCGACTGTCGCAAAGCCATGATGCTCAGTTGCGGCCTTGTCGATGGTCTCGCAGATCGCTCCGCCTGAAACGTAGCCGATCTTCCTCTCAGGGTCGACGCGGGCGTAGTTGAATTAGCGGCTGAGGGCAGTGGCCCTCGGTGAAGGATGTGCCTACAGGGCTGCGACCACTGCCCTCGATAGCGATCTCGAGATCATGTGAACGCGCGTACTGGACTGCGAGCGAGATGTCTTGTACATCCCTGACGAAGCGACGATCTTCGCATTGCGCTTCGCGTTCATCGCCGAGCGCGCAATCACGTTGTGATCAGAGCTCTCGTGAGTATGAGATCACCTGTTACGCGAAGCTAGGCGAGTGGAACACTACAAGCCACAAGCTTGCAAGGTTACTAACTTCAAGGAAGAGTTCTTTGTCTTAGACCTAGGAAGGACGCAAGTCCCTTCGTCCTAGTCGAGTTCCGAAGCAGTAGCGGTATGAGAAAGCTAGCGTCGATTGCTAACCAGGTCGAACTGAAGAGTCCGACCTCTACTGTACAGGTATATATACAAGTGAAAGAGTCTGAGTCAAGACGTATAGTAAGCATGAGTCAGGATATGTCATCGCTGACGAAGGAAGTGGTAATCATGACGAAGAAACGAGTCAGCAAGGTTCAGCTATCACATGATAGTCCGGGTGCGGTATAGTACATAACCGGTCCTCATGCACGTGAGGTGGTTAGAGATAACAAGTAAAATGAAATGAAATGTACGTAATATGGCGACTTGTAACATAAGCCCCTTCCTACGGTCGACGTCCGCGTTGACCACTAAGCCTCAGGATCTTGTTCGTCTCCACCGTCGTTACCATCAGCGTACATGTCGTTTATGTCGCCGTTGAAGTCCCACGGAGAGGGTACTCGACTCGAAGGTTGGTCTTCAACTGAGTGAGATTCCTCGTTGGACTCGGCCACGACCTGAAGTGATCCGACGTGAGGGATACTCGCCGATCGCCTATTGGAACGGATTCTGTAGATGGTGGCGTTGAGGTTTCGAGCCGCGACGGCAGGCGGTACTTCCGAGGGAGCAAGGAAGGTGCGATTGGGATCATCGCTATTGATACCGACCGAATACCCTACGACTTCCCCATCTGGACCGTAAACGACTTGCAGGATTCGTCGTCCGAAGATTTGATCGACAAGTTCTTCTGCATGTGTGGACGTGGATGCCCGTGGACCTTCGTCTCGTTGTTGCGCGAGAAGCTGGGCCTCAAGAGCGAAGAAGCCGTCGGTATTCATGGATGACGACGAAGAAGAGGGTCGAGGTGTTGGTGCAGCGAGGGGTTCTTCTTCGGAGTACGCTGGAGGTTGGGAGTACCTGGGCGGCGCATCCGCCAGTTCTGCGCGCGTAGGTTCGATATGGAAGTCCTCTTCCGACTGCGACGTAGGAGGCGAAACGATGCGTGATAGGGGTCGGAGTGGAGGGAGTCCTTGAGGTCGACGCAGATGTGCAGGTGGCGTAGGGATACGTATAGGGCGTGCGACGAGATCCGATGGTAGGATTCCGCGAAGTCCTCCGTCGGGGTTCGTCTCGTCGTAGTCCTCGTCGTAGAACGGACCTACATGCCATTCATGCATATAGTTCTCAGCCTCCACCCAGGTATCACATACCATTCCTCGTATTCCGGAGCGATACAATCGGCTCAGGATCGCGTGCGTACCTATCCGGTAGATTCCCGGAAGTCGGCCTCGAGCTACGGCGTAATATCGAGCCGTCGGGTAGGGTGATGATTCGAGGTGTCGGCGACGACGAGAAGCGCGTCGACGAAGAGAGTACGGTTCAGCAAGATTATTCTCGTCGGTTTCTTCGGCGAGTTGTCGTGCTCCTCGTTGAGCAGCATTGGTGAGCCGGACGAGGTGCGACTCGGAAAGGATATCGGCGGCGAGGATCTCGGAGAGACGTCGACCGTGCGTCGTCGCTGGTCCCACCTGGGGACATGCGCGGTTCGTATGGCCTGGGGCCGTACGTCGGCACTTGGGACAGGTATACAAGAAACAATCGAGGATTCGATGTCGCTGCTCGTTGTTGCACCCCAGGAAGCACACGGTTCTATTGTCGATGAGGGCTCGTGCTGCTTCGGGGACGAGGTCGTCACGGGTCGCGTCCCTTCCGGGGTACACAAGGTTCGTGGGGTCGCGTGCGTCAGGATCGTTGTGTGCGAGGAGCTCCGGGAAACGTGTGTGCTCCAACGTTTCAAGAGCCGCAGTGAGCGCACCGACAGCGTCTCGCTCGTACGCTAAGAACTCGGCCACGATGTCCTGACGTAGATGTCTCCTCATCGTGACCTCGGTTATGGCGTCGTACACGCCGACCAATGCGTCGAGGGAGTCGTGTTGTTCCTCGTTCGTGAGGGGAATCTCGACGGGAGGGTAGGCGAGGTCGATGAGCTGCGTGTCGGGATCAAGGAACAGGTGCTGGACCATCCTCCAGTTTACGCGGGTGTCGGGGGCTTCCTGTAACTCGGGTCGTTCAGAGAAGAGTCGACGAGTTTCGGCTAGGAGGGGAGTGGGGAGAATGGGAGATGGAGTGCGGGCGATGGCAAAGCGAGACATGTCGAGTAGAGCGATGAGACGAAGAAGATTCAGAGAACTGGAAGTGGGTTATCGTCTTCGTGGTTGAAGTCGATGCGGACGACTCCAATGCGATGCTTTGTCTTATACTCCAAGAGGAGATCATCTGATGTTCCGGTTAGGTTCCGTTCCGGTATCCATTCGTTGGCTGACGAAGGATAACCGCGCCATGACACATAGTACTGTCTCCGACTGGAACTTCCTCGGTGATTGATAATTTGCTCCACTTCGTATTCTTCTTCTCCGTCGATAAGGTCAGGTGGTGGCATCGTGTGATTGGGACCGTGAGTGTCCGTCGTTCTATATGGGGAAAGAAGACCGGCGTGGAAGACGGGATGAATTCGCCATTGCTTCGGGAGAGCCAGTCTGTAGACTCCGCGTCCCATGACTTCCGTGATTGCAAATGGTCCTTCCCGTTTAGGCGATAGTTTCCGGGACGGATAAGGGAGATGAAGGTTCTTCGAGTCTAGCCAGACCTTCTGTCCTTTCTGAAACTTCGGTGATCCCTTGCGGATACGGTCTTCTACCATGCGTTGGGCGAGTTCCATCGTGGCTTCGGCTTCTTTCCGAACTTGTTGCAAGTTGTTGAGTCGTTCTTCAACTGAGGGAATGTTCGTGGGTTCATGAACGGCTGGGATGGAACGAGGTTCGTATCCCATCATTGCGTAGAACGGGGACATCTTGATCGTAGAATGCTTCCTAGAGTTATGTGCAAACTCGGCGTCGGGAAGCATTGATGCCCAGGTTTCAGGATTGTTTGCGCAGAGGATACGAAGGTAGACCTCGAGTTCTTGATTTGCTCGTTCCGTTTGTCCGTCCGTCTGAGGATGGTACGCCGTAGAGATTCGTTGGTCAATCTGAAGGATTTTGCACAGTTCTCGCATGACTCTAGACGCGAATTGGGGTCCTCGATCAGAGATCATGTGATCTGGGAGTCCGAATCGTCGGTAAACCGTGTCGTGTAGCATGCGAGCCGTGTCTGCGGCGTCTTCAGATTCGGTGCAAGGCGTATAAATTACCCCCTTCGTAGAGTCGTGGTCCACAACGACTAAGCAAGAGTCGTATCCCTCCGGAGTGGGCGGAAGGTGTGTGATGTAGTCCATCGTAATCGTCGACATAGGGCGGGTGGGAAGCGAAGCGGGAATAGGGTAGAGCGGGACCTTCGTGGGATGTGTGTTCGGTTTCATCTGTTGGCAGGGTGCACATCCTTTGACGTATTCCGAGATCGAGTGTGTCATTCCAGGCCACCAGTAGCCTCGTTGTACGAGAACTTTGGTGCCGTCGATACCGGGGTGTCCTGCTGCCGGAAGATCATGGTGCAAACGAATGATGTGTCGTCGTAGATTTTCATCCGGAGGAACATATACTTTGCCCCGGTACCAGACAAGTTGTCCATCAGTTGCCCAGTCTTCGAGTGACGTGCGCGCGGGCGGTGGTCCCTTTCCGAGGAGCGCATCAAGTGCCTCCCGAATCATGGGGTCTACGTCGTGGGCGGCAGTGATCTGGTCCTTCAGTGTGATATTGAC